TCACGGGATACTGATTGCCCCAGAAAGGTGAGATTTGAAAGGAGATGCTCTCTGCAGTTCAGACACATCCCAAGAGTTGGAAGCTGTCTGCTGAGCACACTCCCAACAGTTGTGTGCTTCCTTAAAAGAGGAGCTGGGCAGCACATCTTTCTGTCTCTCACATTATTTGGTAGACCCACCCAGGATTTTGTAATTTTCTAGGAGAATGTACCATTATTTGACCTTACTACTTACTATTAATTAAAGATGCAGACTTTTTTTTGAGGAAGATTTGCCCTGAGCTAACATCCGTGCCAATCTTCCTCTACTCTCTATACGGGTCTGGTTGCCACCATAGCATGGCTGATGAGTGGTGTGAGTCCATGCCGAGGATCTGATCTGTGAACTCGGGTCGCCAAAGTGGAGTGCACCGAACTTAACCACTACACCCCGGGGCTGGTCCCAAGGTGGAGACTTTTGTAGTTGTATCTTAGTTTGTGGTCTTGTGTCCTATGGGTTGCGAATAATTTCTCAGTAAATTAGTAAATAGTAAAAAATATAAACCACTAACCACAAGGGTTGTGATTTATTGTCCACTGGGACTTCAATCAATTTTGTATTCAACTTGACAATCTTATTTTTAACATTTAAAAATGCCTTTACTGATGCAATATATAAATCCCTGTTCCTCATACTTTTTGAATCAGTTTTGACATCTTGCAAAAGTTAATAAATATGTCATTCTATATTTATATGCATTATATTTTTAGCTTTTTTGAAAAAATTGTACTTTGATATGAGCAAAGGAAGAAGAAATAAAGACAGAGGTTTGTGATTCACCTGTCAGACAAAGAAAATGAGTGTTTACATATTGTGTAAAATGATAAATGTGAATTTTAATATCGTTGCCTATAATGGTCAATGAGCACAAAAGGGCTTAAGATTGGAAAGCTACATTCTAGTGAAATATAACAAATGTTTATAACTCACATATTTCAAAAGGTTTTAGAGCAGTTTTGTAAGAATACTTCCATCATTGCTAACTAGACAGGACTTAATTGTCATTAATATTTTTAGTCTCTTGGACTCTAAGTGTTTGTGATTGTGTGTGTGTGTGTTTGTGTGTGTGTCCCTAGATGACTTTCTGACTTGAATTGTATCTTTTTCTTTATTGCATAAATAATCCCACTTACTTCCCAAAACCCTTTTTTTAAAAAAATGCTAATTGGGAAGACTTGCAATTTAAAGCTTCAGGCAATATTCCCTTCATTTTTAATCAGAATTTAAAGAGCCTATGTTTTACAGCTTAATAAAAGCAAAATGAGAGTAATCTGAGAATGCAAAATGGTTCAGTCATTATAGAAAACAGTTTGTCAGTTTCTCATCAACTTAAACATACACTTACCATACAACTGAGCAAATTCACTCTGAGGTATTTACCCAAGAGAATAGAAAATTTACGTTCAATCAAAAACATATTCATGAATGTTTATAAAGCCTTTTTTTGCAATCAACAAACCTGGAAACATCACAAACGTCCTTCAACTGGAGAATGGATAAATGAGCTATATATCCATACAACTGGATACTACTCAGTAATCAATGGGAACAGACTACTAATAGACACAAGAATAGGATTAATCTCAAACATATTATGCTAAGTTAAAGGAGCTAGACTCAAAATTATGTCATTTATATGATGTTCTGGAAAAGGTGAAAAAAATGACAGTAAACAGACCAGACAGTGGGCAGGGGCTTGGGTGAGGGCAGGAGATGATTACAAAAGGGCATCAGAGAATGTGTGGGTGGATGAAATTTCTATATCTTGATTTTAGTAGTGGCTATATGACTATATACATTTGTCAAACTTGCAGAACTGTATATGAAAAAAGGTGAATTTTACTGTATGCAAATTATACCTTAATAAAAAATTTTTAAAATAGGAAATAATCATTTTAAATAAATTAATATGAGGCTTTTAATATTATGTTTCTACAGCTTTCTTTAAGTACCCATAGAAAAATTTCATTTCTGTCTTGTTATTTTTTAAAAGAATTTTAGTTTATACTTTTTTGAAGATACAAATATATTTATTCTCATGAATTAAACATGTCAACTCGTTTATTGAACCAATTTCTGTGTATGCCTTTGCTCCCTGTATTATATATATTCCCTAGACATCACTTTTCATCTTGCTGAAATTATTTTATTGGAGGGTCTTTCAAAATAAATTCTTTAGTTTTTTTATAATTTGTCCTCACTCTTTAATGATGGTTCAGCTATGCATTGAATTCTAGTTGTGCAGTTATATTCCATCAGCACTTTTGAAGGTTTTCTTCCTTGCTCTATTACTGTCATTGAAAAGTCCACTATCATCTCATTGTCTTTACCTAGTGGGTAATCTGTCCTTTACCTCTGGGAGCATTTAACAGTTTTCATTAACATTGACATTCTACAGCTTCAGTACAATGTGTATTTCTTTTTATTTTTCCTGCTCAATAGTTAGAAAATTGTCCACTTTCTTCAAAAATCACTGGTGGCAGACAACAGTAACTCCAAGACACACAAACTCATGCACAGGATGCAGTGGATTGCCAAAGATCAGTGAATAAAATCTTGTAATTATAGACTCTACAGAGCCCAGTCATATTGAACTGGAAATAGTCCAAGCTAAGAGGATCCTAAAGGAACCGGAGGGAGGGAAGTGGGAAACAGGGTCCCACAGATACCACAAAACCCACCGTAAGATCTGGGGCAGATGGATGACCATGAAAAGGGTGCTTGCTTCCTGGTCTATTAGTCACCAGTCTAGAAATTTGCCATCAGTACCTCCCTTAGAGTGAAATAGAAAACTAGAGTCTATAAGCTCATTTAGTGAGAGAAGAAAGCAGGGATATCAGGCCAGGAAATATGCCCAAGAGGACTCATTAACATCCTGTTCCTGGACCAGCATTTCCCTGGGAGACCATTTCAGCTGAGAAGATAAGTGCCTCTGAACTTAGAGAGGAATAAAGTACAAAGGGTGGGGTCACAGGATGAGAAGACAGAGTAGCCTCCCTCAGGAGAGGGCCCTGGCTCACTCTTGCCCCAGGGACAGTGAGGACAGGCAGGGCAGGGTCTCCCTTGGGCAGCTCTTCCAATATCTACTTCTTCCAGATTCCTGCTGCTTTCATCTTTGCTCCCAGAACCTAGCAAGAGGAAATGAATGTCTGAGCATCTGGACCCAAGAGCGCAGTCTGACAACTGCTCCAGAGCTAGATGGGCTCCCTCCCAAGGAAACTGTGTGACAGAAACAGTTTCTCCTAATTCTCCTAAGGTGGGAGAACAGGAAACCATCTTCTTGCTCCAAAGAAAGGACCCACGGACTGTATTATCTCTCTATGTGTCTACTGCATCTCCAGAGAACACCTGCAGAGGAAAAGAAAGAGCAGGCGGGGCCCTGACACCTACCTTAGTCAGACTCCCCAGACTCTTAACTCAACTTAGCAAAAACTAACCAAATTGGATACTGCTGGAAAAGTTCTATCTTCCTTCCCCATTTCCACAGGCACATCCTTGACCCTCACACAACCCCCAGGGCAGTCTGCATGGTCAGGGAGCTGGGCTTCTCATCACCTCAGGTAAGGACTTTGTCTTCCTTTCAGGGAAGTGTGCAGCCTCTAGGAATGCTGAGTTGAGAAACAGAGCCCAAAGCAGATCCTAAGACTCAAGCTACAGAGTCTTCCAGGTTCTCTAGTGCTTTGGGCTTTGGATTCCTCCCAATTCCCTCTATTCTTGGTGTTTTAAGCACGAAGAGAAATCAGGGAGAATGATGAACGTATCTGGGCTACATCCCAGGCCTGCATATTTGTTTCCTGGTGGAAGTAGCAGTGCTTGCCTTTAGACTCCCATGGGCTTTGCTGGCCTCTGATAAGGCATTTTTGCAACTATATGATAATAAATGCCTCCAAAGTGCCATCTAAGAGCAGATGATACAGCTGTCATATGCTCTAATATCTTTTTACCGTTAAAATCCTGTGGCCTCAGAAGAGATTAGTAGAAACCAGTGAAATGCAAAAATATAGAAGCCACAACATAGGGAAATGATTTAGAGAAAGATGCTTCACTTACAGACTCCCTAACACATGTTCAGAGTTGGCTTTATCAGTCCCGTACCCATGATGCATGACACTGATTTCTGTCAATCTCAGGTCCCTTGTTTCTTCTGGCTTCTCTCTGGTATTGGATACCACACTTCAATAGAGGCTTCCAGAACAGGGACTCTTTCTCCCTGTCCCTGTGACCCTTCAACCCAGTGTGGATACTCTGGCCCTGCAAGAGGGAGAAGGTGCAAGAGAGAGAAGGTAGGATTATTGAGGCTAATTACAACATACAGCACATGCTCTTTGTTGCCTACAACTTTCACCATTTCTCCCAAACACAAACACTCTGCTCATTCTGGGAAGGGCCTTGGCTGCTACTTTTCTGAGTCCTGCCAAGTTCATATTTTACCATGACCTGTTAAAAAGAAAAACAAAAAACAGAAAACTATGCTTGCCATTTATCCTGAAGGTCTATCTCTAAAAGCAACACCATGTCAAACACACCGCCTCCTAGTCTCAGACAGTCTAGAATCCCTTCTCTCTCAGGCACGTGGAGAGTGTGGGGCTGGTCCAGAGAGGCGCCTAAGATGGACACACTTTAGGTCTTCCAACGAGACTTGTGTCTACAGCCTGGAGTGCTGCAAACAAATGTGGGCACAAGTTATATGGTAAAAGAAGTGGAATGTCTTACTGAAATCACATTTCTGTACTTGTTTTAGAATTTCATATTAAAAATAGGTCTATGCAGAACACTAACTGGCTATTTAAATCATTAGTCAAATATTAGTCTTAAAAGATAGATTCAAAACTAATCAAGATCAAGGGTGCCAGAACACTGCTTTACTCTTAGGAGAGACATGATTTCATCTTTCTGAAAAATAGCGTTCAGGTTTGATGTCCTGAATAGTATTTTCATGTAGTCATCTCTTAATGTGTAGCTATTACTATAATGCTTGTTCTCTATTTAGATGGTTTTTGCACCGAGATACAATTAAAAGAGTCAGAAACTCAGAGATCAAAGTTCAAGTCAGTTAGCCGTGGGAAGCACAACACCTCATCTGATGCATGTTGCCATCCTCGGGGGCCTCTGATATTACAAAACTAGGGGACCATCTTAGCAAAACCTCACGGAGAATCCATTTGGTTCCAGGCAAGTAAAGACACAACATAGAATGGAGCGCTGGAATTCCACCCGGGGAAGTGGCTTCATATTGGTGGGGATTCTGAATGACAGTGGTTCTCCTGAGCTGCTGTGTGCCACAGTCGCAGTCCTGTACATGTTGGCCCTGACTAGCAACGGCCTGCTGCTCCTGGTCATCACAGTGGATGCCCGACTCCATGTGCCCATGTACCTCCTGCTCAGGCAGCTCTCGCTCATGGACCTCCTCTTCACATCTGTTGTCACTCCCAAGGCCATCGTGGATTTTCTGCGTGGTGAAAACACCATCTCCTTTGGGGGCTGTGCCCTTCAGCTGTTTCTGGCATTGATGCTGGGCGGTGCAGAGGACCTCCTACTGGCCTTCATGGCCTATGACAGGTATGTGGCCATTTGCCATCCTCTGAACTACATGGTCCTCATGAGGCCCAGGGTCGGCCGGCTTATGATGGCCACATCCTGGATCCTGGCATCCCTCAGTGCCCTTGCATATACCTGGTATGCCATGCACTATCCCTTTTGCAAAGCCCGGAAGATCAGGCACCTGCTCTGTGAGATCCCGCCTCTGCTGAAGTTGGCCTGTGCAGATACCTCCAGATATGAACTCACAGTGTATGTGATGGGTGTCACCTTCCTGATGCCCCCTCTTGTTGCTATCCTTGCCTCCTACACACTAATCCTATTTACTGTGCTCCACATTCCCTCAAATGACGGGCGGCAGAAAGCCCTCATCACCTGCTCTTCCCACCTGACCGTGGTTGGGATGTTCTATGGAGCTGCCACATTCATGTATGTCCAGCCCAGTTCCCTCCACAGCCCCAAGCAGGACAACATCATCTCTGTTTTCTACACAATTGTCACCCCAGCCCTGAACCCCCTCATCTACAGCCTCAGGAATGAGGAGGTCATGGGGGCCTTGAGGAGGGTCCTGGGGAAATACATGCTGCCGACACAGTCTACCATCTAGGAGGAGCTTATGGCTTCCCTCAAAATTCATTCCTCCTCAACATCAGGAGTTTTCTGCTAAGAGTCAAATACTCAGAGTATAAACACCATATTGCAGAATATATCTTTTGGTAGAAAAATGAAGGAATGTACCTTGACTTGTCAAATGATCTTTTAATTCTTCTTTCCAGGGGGTAATTTATAAGGTACGATTCATACTCTATTTAAAATTTACTCTCTATTTGCCCTAGTGGCTTCTGAGTTAAACGGGATTAGGGATTTTCACCAGCTTGGGACCTGACCTCTGACTTTTGGAGTCCAATTGGACAAACATGAGACCAAAGAAAAGAGAGTTTCAAGTGGGAGGCCTAAGCAAGGCCCATACATCAGAGGAGGGGACTTCTATTCACATAGCGTAGCACAAATTCTATGCTAAGTGACCTCGTTAAAAGATCAGGACCAATCTGGTTTTATGCCCAAACTAGTAGCATCACGTTCACTCCTTTTTATAACCATCACCCATTATGGAAACTGCCCCACCTGGATACCCAGTAAGTGTTTTTCGTGTGTGGGGTTTTTTGTTTGTTTATTTGTTTTTGACGTGGGAATATTTTATACTGCCTAAAATTCAGTTGCTACTGAAATGAATAAAATAGAAAATTAAGGCATCTCATAAGCAAGATCCATGGTAAACAACTATGCTTCTTCCTTGTCAACAGATAAACACACAAACAAAACAAAACTGGTTTCCCATTATTTCCAGGCTGTCTTCACACGTCCCTACAATTGCAAAGGGATCATATGATTGCTATGTGTGGATGTGTGAATCTGTGGATGTGTATTTGTGCTGAGAAAGGAGAGGACAACACATAAATTCGTTTTCTAGTAGCTTAAATATGCTGTTCTACTACCATTTGTTTACAAGTCTGGAAATATTTAAACAAAAGCTGGAAGTTGTCTTGAAGCTTCAGAAGATTATGGTTCATCAGAGTGGCACTATTTTAGGGAATGCTTCTTTTTCTGGAAATTGGCTAACACTTTTTCTCTTTTTTTTCAAAAGTAAAACCGCTCTGTTTCTTCTTTGACACTAAAAGAAGTTATTTTAAAAAAATTAATAAGATTAAGAATTCTAGAAATGGACAACAACCAACTAAATTCTCCTTACCCAGGGATAACCACTACACATATTTAGATGTGTTTCCTTCCTTTTTTAGTGCAGGCATGTATTTCACTGAGTTGATATGTACATGTAGGATAGAGATTTTTTTTACTTATTAATGTATAGTGAATCTTTCCCATATTATATGGTGACATATAGAGCAGTGACACAGAGCCTGGGGTCAGTTGTCAGAGTATTGAGATTTGAATTCAATACACCCCCACTTACTTATATAACTTTGAGGATGTTACTCAGCCTCTCTGTACCTAATTCTGTACATCTATAAACTGTAAATTGGCAGTAATAGTAGGACCTACTTTATAGTTGTTGTTGTTGTGAGGATTAAATAAAAGTTAGTAAATACAAATTTAAGTGTAAATATAAGTGTAGTAAATATAAGTGCTTTAGAAGAGCACCTGACGTATAACGAGTACTTAATAAATCTTAACTCCCACTTGAACAAGTAGCCTTCGAAATACTTTCACACGGTGACAATATTACATTATGTGGATGCTTTGTAATAGAATTGGCTATTTCATCACCATTATACGTTTAACATTGGTGGTGGTGGGTGGTGTGTTTGTGTAAAAACAACCATCTTGATCTCTTGTGTGTGACTGATTTTTTCCCCTCAGAATGAGTTCTCATGAATGGGATTAGTAAAACCAAGGTCAAAATCTATTTAACATTCTCAATATAAAAATACAAGTTGATTTTTTTTAAACGTTAAACCTTTTGGATTTTTACCAGCAACATATGTGTACTTAATCCACCACACATTTTTGCATGTTAATTTTAACGTATAAATATCTTTACTAATTTATTAGGTATAATATTTAAATGTACTATTTTAATTTTCATAAATTAACTTTTTTTTTCTTATTGAGTTGTTGGAATTCCTTACAGATTAGGGATACTGATAATTTGTTTTATTTGTGTTAATGACTCTTTTTCCAATTTGTTATTTGACCTTTTGTGTCTCCATGGCAAAAATGTTTAGACTGAGAGGTATTAAAATTATTTGCATAGTGAAATTTATCCATCTTTTCTTTTCTGTTTTCTTTCAGTGATTTTACTGTTAGGATGTAATTTTTCACTTTCTCTTAACTAAACAATTTATAAATTTTATTTTTTCTTAATCATTTCATAATTTGCGTTTAACTTTTTAAATTAATTTCTAATTTATCTTGATATAGTGATGTTTTAACTGTTTTCTAAGTTGTCACTTTCCTAGCAGTATTTTACAGTAATCTTTCCGTTTTCCACTAATTTCTTCTATTTCTTTTATCACATTTTGTGTTCTCATAAATGTGGTATTAAGCTACATTTCTTGGCTATCTCTTCAGTTTCAGCTTAATTCTCTTCTTGACGCTTTCTGAAGATATTTGATTCTCTCATCCACATGTTAAAAACTTATCAATAATTTGATTATCAATATATTCAACTTCTAAATTAATTTGTCATTTGGGCATTTTTTGCAGTGCTCAGCTATGCCTTCCAGAACACAGTGTACTGCTACACTTCCCAAACCCAGTCTCGATTCCTTTCTCGGAATGATGATTTCACACATTCAGTCTGGGCTGAGGATTTTACCCCATATTTCACTTGGAACAGAAAGTGAAGTGTAGGGCAAGAAGGGGAAGGGGAGGTGAAAAAGAGCAGCCCCCATCTTCCCATCTTCACCTGCCTGTATGTGTCTGCACATTCACATCTTGTTTTGCCCTTTTACAACTGTCTATCCAAGGCTGACCCCTCCACTAGTAATTTGGATCCCAATCTCACTCACCTACCAAAGATTTTGCTCCTGCAGAGTCTCTTTAATTTCTTTGATCAGAATCTCTTTAGTCATTTTCTCCCTCTCTTCTGGATCATAACCATAAGGATACAAATATGCTCTGATTATCCCATCATAAAAATCCATGTCCATGACTCCACATGCCCTTCAGATACTGACCCATTTTTTTTTTCAGCTTCTCTTCAGAGAAAAAAAATCTCAAAAGGTATGTCTATGTCCACTTTCTTCTCTGCTCATTTTCTATTCGTATTGTAATCCACAGCCAATCAAGCTCTGGTCTCTTTCCATGGACCTGTTCTTCGTCAAAATCATCACTGATGCTCCAAATAAAATGCTAATTTCTGTTCCCTCTTCCTTCAACCATTCAGCAACATTGGCACAGTTGACCACTCCCTTCCTCTTGAAATTGGTTCTTATCTTGGCTTCTAGATACCAACCACTCTTAGCTTTCCTCCTTCCTCCTTTAACTCTTTTCACCTTATGGAATCCCCTTCTCTTTCTGAATTTGGAAGTTCCCCACGGTACTAATGTGAACTTCTTTTTCTTCTCATTCCATAATTTCTTCCTGAATAATTTCATCTAGTTGCATAGGTTTAAAAGCACATGACTGCTTCCATAAACCACAGACTCATATATCTAATTACCTACTTGCTATGTCTAGTAGGAATTTCAACTAAATCCAAAACATAAATCTTGATTAGTCCTCCTGATAATCTGTTCTACCCTCATTCTTTATGATCTAAATCAATAACATCATCCTTTACACAACTGATCAAACTAAAATTTAAATATAAATATTGTTTTCTCTTTTTGCTTTACTGCCCTGTCAAGTAAATCTTGTTGGCTTCATCTATACAGTACACTCCAAATCCATCACACAGTCCAAAACTGTTCCTGCTTTAGGTTCAATTAGTAGCTATTTTCCTAGCCTATGATGTTTTTTCTGTCAAATCTGCTTGGCTTAGTAGGGACGTTAGTAGGTCCCATCTTAAAAATGTTAACTTCTCGAAGAGGTTACCAAGCTAAGTGGCATGAACCTAAAGCGAATAGCATTATCACACGCTGTGTTTTGTCTCCATTGTGCTTATCATTATGTGAAACTTTCTTATTTATACTTTAGTTTACTTGCTTACTCTCTGTCTCCACCTTCCAAAATGAAAGCTCCATGAGAGCATGAACTATGCTATGTGTGTCTCATAGCTTCTTCTCCATAAAATCTAGGAAAGTATATAACAGTCTCTACAATAACAATGTGAAAAAGTGCATGCATGTGTATATCTTCACTGAAGGAAAAGAGGAATATGCTATGTTCTTAGGTGAAAAGATTTAATATTTTAATTTAAATACCTTAACTTTTGCTAAATATTCTATAAATTCACTGTAATAACCATCAAAATTCTAATGGCATTTTGAAAAGTGGGTTTTGGGGCTGGCCTGGTGGCCCAGAGGTCAAGTTCGCATGCTCTGCTTCAGCAGCCTGGGGTTCGCCGGTTGGGATCCCGGGTGCCGACCTATGCACCGCTTATCAAGGCATGCTGTGGCAGGCGAGCCACATATAAAGTAGAGGAAGATGGACACAGATATTAGCTCAGGGGCAACCTTCCTCAGCAAAAAAGAGAAGAATTGGCGGCAGATGTAAGCTCAGGGCTAATCTTCCTCACAAAAAAAAAAAATGTAGATTTCAACAAACCGAGGAGTAGAAAGCTTATAAACTATCAAGAAAATTGTGAAATAGAAAGAAAATAAAACTTATGCCCTACCAGCTAAAGCTACAGTAATTGAAATGCAGCTAAACAAGTGCAATAATTGACAAATATGCCAATATGTGTATTGAAATTTAGTATATATTGTGGCAGCATTTGAAATTAAGGGAAAAAGAATGACTTAACATGGCTAAATATTTAGAAAAAAAATGTACCATACTATCTCACATACACAAATTCTTGCAAAAAAAAATTGCAGATATTTTAGGGATCCAGTGGTTAAAAACAAAGTCCAGTGTCAGACTGCCTACCTCAGATTCATGTCCCACTTGTTTCCCAGCATTGACATGGGGCCTTCTAATTGAGTTTCAATGAATGGAATGTGAGCAGATGTGATGTGCTCCTTCTAAGCTACAAAACTGTTCAGTGAACAACTTTTGTCTTCATCTCATGGATATTTGCATGCAGGACGACCTTGAAAACGTCAAATGGCAGAGCTCTCCAGCTTGGGCCCATGTATTTGCCACTCCATCCCTCAACTAGAATTTAATGTTAGTAAAAAAATAAACTTCTACCCTCTAAGCCACTGAGATTTCAGATTTATCTGTTAAGAGTTGGGGGTCAGCAAACATGTCCCTGGGGCTACATCTGAACTGCCTGCTTTTACAAATAAAGTTTTATTGTAACACATTTATTTTTGTATTATCTATGACTGTTTTCCTGCTACAGTGGCAGTGGTGGGTAGTTGTGATGGGGACAGTATGGCCCCAAAAGCCTAATGTTTATTATCTGGTCCTTTATAGAAAAAGTTTTCTGATCTTTATGTTAGAGCAACTAGTGTTACCTTATGTAAAGAAAAACTAGAACTAGCACTAGAACATAACACAGAAGACAATTTTTATTACTTTAGGAGTGAGAAAAGCCTGTCTTAGTAAAAACGAAAATCTGTGTACTCCCCCTAGTTTATTCTCTGCCTTCCTGACTCTTGCCCCCACCACACCTTTACCTGGTTACCTCTTTCATCCTTGAGTTTTAACCTAAAAGTCACCTCCTCAGGAAGGCACTCTGTGTGCTTTCTAAAAATCTATAACTATGTGATTTCATTATTCTGTCCTAGTAATTTTTGCAAAGTTCAATACCGAACTGGCAAATTCAACAGCCTTTTACCAAGACATAAAACTCTGAGACATTTGAGAAATCTTTCCTGGAGGGCCTCTCTTCTCACCACTTCTGACACACCCTTTCTCAGTTTCTCCTTCTCTTTCTCTGATTCTGAATGCTCTGGGCTTGACTGGTTATTCTTCATCCACCTTGAAATGTTGGTAACTCCACGGTTCTGTCTTTGATTCTTTCCCGCTGTCTTTCTCCAAAACCTGGTCTCATCCAGGATTGCACATCAGAGTTACCCTGGGATACCTTTGCAGAACATATGTAGTGCCTCCATCTTTGCTCCCCTTATGATCTGAGTAGGACTAGGTACATGCATTTTAATATAACTCTCTCAAGACTGCAAGGCGTACAATTGGTGTTCTGGTTTAAACCTTTGGCATGCATCCTTGGGTGTGTCAAACTTCACTCTCATTTATTTGCAGTAAACTTCTAAATCTATTTCTCCAGTCCATATTTCTCTCTTAAACTCCAGCTTTATTCATCCATTCAAAATGACGTTTCTTGAGCAACAGCAATGGCTAGTCACTTTATTACAATTGATAATACAGAGATCAACAAGCAGTCAGTCTTTACGCCATGGTATTTAAAGTCTAATGGAGGAGTCAGACATTAAGCAAATAATCATACAATTCATTTATGTAAAGGCCATCCCATTGCCTAAAAAGCAGTGTACAATTTTTAGTGTGCGTAAGAATCACCTGGGGCTTGTTACAAATGAGATCGACTGTCCTAATCCATGCTGTACTGAGAAATATTTTCAAACAGCAACTCAGAGACCATTTCAAATCATGATAGCAAAACTGTGGTCTACATTATAAATGTCTTACCACCAAGGCATAAAATGGTGTTCCAGCCTTCCTTTTCTTACCTTCATCCTCATTTTCCATCACTGTCCAATAAATCCCCAATGTTCAGCATTTTTAGAATTACATGATGGGCAAATTCTTTAGGATTGACTTTGAAGCATTTCTCAATCTAGACTCTCTGTCTTACTTTTCAGCTTTATATCTAACTATTTTCCTGATGTTACACATACTTTTAGAAAAATTCTACCATTTTTTGTTCCTTAACTGTGCTTTATTTTAAATTTCAGAAAGTGTTAAATTTAGAGTTTAAGGTCATGTTAGAAATAAACACTAGGAAGACTTTAATTTTTATGTCTATATCCCCAGCTTCTAGACATGTACCTGGGGTATATTATATATAATATATAATGAATATATTATATTCACAATATTTTATATATAATTATATAATATATTATTATATTATATATTATTATGTGTATTCATCAAATGTATTTTGAATATATATTTGATGAATACATGCAAAAATGAAGGAAATGTTCCATTTGCCAGAAATGTAATCTCGTATTTGTGACACTTTTATTTGTTTATTTGGTTCTTGGTTTGTTTTCTTTAGTTATAGTTGTAGGTCTACTCATCCTAATTTCCTTATTAGCTTGTATGGGCTTAGAGAGTAGAGACTGTTTACTTACCTACCTTTCATTCCTTTCCTTCTTCCCTTCATTCCTCCCTTCCTCCCTCTCTCCCTCCCTCCCTTCCTTTCTTTTTATCCCTTTCCTTTTCTTTCTATATTTCTTTCCTGTGTCTAACAAGGTATCTTGCTTTGAATAGGCAATTTGATGAATTTATCTGAGAAAAGATAGGAGAAGAAAAAAAAAGTGGAGGAATGGGATGAAAATGGGAAAAGTTTACAAGAAAATCACTTCTTTCCACATCTCTGAAATTGTCCTCATAACCATAGATCCCCACTTTCAAAAAGATTTTGTAGTCACTCGCCTGAGAGCACATTTGACATCCTTGTTCCTCAGACTATAAATGATGGGGTTCAGCATGGGTGTCACTGCTGAGTAGAACACAGAGATCATTTTATCCCTTTCATTCATTATCTTGGAGTATGGCCTCATGTAGGCAAATATTCCTGACCCATAGAAGAGGACAACGACAATGAGATGGGAGCCACAGGTGGAGAAGACCTTGAGTCTACTCTCGCCAGACTGCATCTGGATCACAGTGGAGATAATATTCCAGTAGGAGACAAGGATCAGGGAGACAGGAGTGAGCAGGATGAGCACACCCATTACAAAGATGGCCATTTCTGTGCTGTAGGTATCTGCTGAAGCCAGCTTCAGGAGGGCAGGAGGTTCACAAAAAAAATGGTTAATAACATTGTTCCCTCGGTACGGCAGATGCAGTGTGAATATGGTGTCCACCAGAGACCCAAGTGCTCCAATGGCCCAAGACCCGATGGCCAGCTGGACACATACCCAATGTGTCATGATAGTGGAGTAGTGCAGGGGCTTGCAGACAGCCACATACCTGTCATAGGACATCACTGCCAGCAGTGCACCCTCTGTACCCCCAACTAGAAGTAAAACAACTAGCTGTATTGAGCATCCAGCAAAGGAAATGGTTTTCCTCTTTGCCAGAAAGTGGACCAGCACCTGGGGGACTGTGGTAGTGGAAAAACAGAGATCAGCAAAGGATAAGTTTCTGAGAAAAAAGTACATGGGTGTGTGGAGCCTGGAGTCTATGTGAGTGAGCACAATAATAAGCAGATTTCCCAACACAGTCAGCACGTAGAGGATCAGAAAAAGGAAGAAGAGCAAGACTTGTATCTGGGGATCTTGCGAAAGGCCCAGGAAGACAAACTCAGTCACAGAGGTTTGGTTTTCTTCTCCCATGAATATTTACTGCTGTTTATATGTCAGCACCAAGAAAAGAAACACATATTGGTCAGTTATAAAAAAATAACTTAGGTGTTATTAATAAAACTGGGCTATTGATTTCTATCTCCTAACAGCTTTCACCTATCAGAAGACAGAGCTCTCTCTTTGCTCAGTAGTTCTGAAAATTGAAAGCGAGTTCTGATTTTCCCTCTCCTTGAATCTTTTGGTAGCACCAAAGGGGCGGTGCTGTCCTGAATCTGCTGTATGACCAAACCTTGACTGGACTGTGCATAGTCCTGAAAAGACTGGAGCAGAGCTCACAGTGCAGCCTTCCATTTATGTAGATTTGGGAAGCAAACAAATGGACGCCACTTAGATTTTTAAGTTAGATTTTTACGCTGCAAACTGTCTGATAACATTTATGAAGGCTGATTTTTTTCATTATTCTATTTACAAAATAATAAAAAAAAAAAAGCACTCTGAACAAGGAAGGGGAACTAAGGGACAATGTAGTAGTCTGTGATCCTGGCCCTTAAATAAATTTTTCTGTCATTTTTCTTCAATCTGAAGAAGGTGCTGGAGAACATCAGTGAAATTAGCTGCCTCATTGGTCATTCTGCACTCAGGAGCATCCTTTAAATGTGCCCTAATCTGTCCACCACACTCTTTTACCTCTCTTCACCAACGTCCTTTGGCCAAAATAATACTAACTATCATGTGTTGGGCACTCCTCTGGTGCCAGTAATTATTAATAGCTTCTTTACGTTCACTTTTTGTTTTAAATCCTCTTTTTAAGCCCATATGAGATAGTTGTTATTGCCCCCAGTACACAGACGATGAAACAACCCGCAGAGAAATTTTCAAATCAGTTCCCCTAAGCCTTCCCCACTCTTTCTGAATCCTGAAAATCTTTTTTCTAGTCAAAAGCTCATTGTAGAGATTCAACTTTTGCCCAATTCTCTTCACTTATTCCCCACATCCACCGCTTAGAAGACAAACCCACAGACCTTCTCCATTTTAAGAGTTTAGAACTAAACCACCATGGCAGAGCTATCTGTAGGCACAAAAATAACAGTCAGGCATATTTTAACAGATATTTTAAAACATTTTTGGGAGGTCTTTCCCAAATGACAATAGAAGGAATTAAAGGAACAAATGTTGAGAAAAGTGATAAAGATTATTTGCAGATAATTTGACTGCGTATCTTTAAAAAAAAATCAAAAAGAGCCAATTCAATCCTGTGATAACTGCAAAGAAATGAGGTCTGGTACAAGATGAGTAATTGAACATTCTCATGTTAAATACCAAAAGTAACCAAGCTGAAATTTTAGTAAAAAAATTCCTTCACAATCGCTAAACTTAACAAAACGTCCACTTAGGAAGCATTCAAGACCTATTAGAAGGCAACTTTGAAACATGATGCCTGAATTAATGAATAGACACTGATTTTATGACTAGAACAATATAGTCTTATAAAGTTATTCATTACCTCTGAATTAATCCATAAATTCCCTGAAATTCCAACCAAGCTCACAGAGGACTTTTATAAGGGAATTTAATAAGCTTATTATAAATTTTATCTAGATGAGTAATTTTGATAGTAAACAAGGTGTGGAAAAGAAAAATGAGGGAGTAGAGAAAACATATCCTACCAAATATAAAATAGATAATAAATTTCCCTTGCTTACTACTAGTGTATACTGAGCAGGTATAAAACATTTGACTGATAAGTATATTATAGAACTGAGGCAGATCCTAGTATGGATGCAATTTAACTTAAAGATGTCATCTTAAATAAGTATATTACTTTACAAAAGGTATGGGACAAGTGCTTATCATTTTAGAACATTATTATGCAGATGTATACATATGTATGTTTATACATACATATACTGTAAGTATAAACAATAATTAATCCCAAATGCATCTAATTTTTTAAAACATTTAAGTTTTCTATGAAATTATGTAGTGTGTTTATTTGTCTATCTATCCATCTTTGTGTGATAAAAGCTTTCCTAAACACACACACACACACACACAATCATAAACAAAAATGCTAACAAACTGGACAACATAAAAATATCAGACTTCTATGTAGTAAATACCACTATAAGTGAAATTTCAAAGTAAAATGAATCTGGGAAAATATTTGCAAAGAATTGAACAGAAATTTTTCATTATTTCTAATACATAAAGACCTCTTAAAAACCAATAATTAAAAACATAATCCATTAGAAGAATGGGGAAAGGATTTAAATACCCCATTCACAAAAAACAAGTAAAACTGAACAATAAACATGAAACAAAAAGATGAATATTAAAACAACAAATAAGATATCATGTTTTGCCTTTCAAGTAGAATTTAAAAGAATATAACATCCAGGTTTCGTGATATAGCAAGGTGACTATGATAGATTGTTCAATGAAAGTAAGCCACAAGACTTTATATATGATATCATTTTAATCTTTTAAATGGAGTGTGAATGGATGTGTGTATTTGTGGTATGTGTGTATTTCCATAGGTATGTCTCCTGCAGTGAGAGTCCACTGGTCATGGACTGCTGTCATTTGCAAGGAAACTGCATAGCTCACTGGTTGGAAGTCGGGGTTCTTCAACTAAACTGCAGGGTTTGAATACAGGGCTTTTCTAGGTGATGTGTGACCACAGAAAATTACTAAGCTTTTCTGTGCTGGGCTTTCCTTATCTGTGAAATGGTGATCTAAATAATACATATCTTATAGTATTTATGTAAACATTAAATAAAGCATAAACTATTTAAAGAATCTAGGACAGCAAACAAGCGTAGCTCATAATATTATATAACATCCCATTATAATAATGAGATCGTGACCTGGAATCAACTGCAAGATTAGGAAAATGGCTGTTAAGGACAAAGCGTAGGCATACATGGCTGCTGTATATGATTGGGGAAGAGGCTTATTCCACTATTTTTACTGTTTGCAATATTTTGCTCTCTGTTCATCCTTTATGACCGGAACTGTGTTGCCAGCAAAATTCAATGTCAAGGCCAATTGTAATAGGGGATAATGAGAGGTTTCTGAGTCTGTGGAATGAAGGACAAAGACAAGCATTAGTTTGATTTAATCATGTTATTCTCTCTTTTGTTTGAAACTCTTTTATTATAGATATTTTCAAACACATATAAAAGTAAAGAGAATAGTACAATAAAATCTCAAGTATCTAACAATAAGATTCATATCTGTTAATCAATTTTGATCTATTGATCATTTAATTTATTAGAGTTTGATTGTAATAACAAAATATACTTAAAACTACTTAAAAACTCCTTTATCGTTGAAAGTCTAAAAGATAAATTATTGTCATGTAAGTTTGAAATTAGAACCTAGCCTTTCCCCAAAGTTAAAACTTAAAAAACCAAAATTAAGCATATGTAAGGATTCTTAGGAAAGCTACTGCATCATATCAGGATAGTTTGTATATATGGTTTGTGGATCCAGAGGAAATGGTCTGTTCATGGTGATTATCCCCAGCAAGTGGGATTCTAGTGGGAGCAGGGCAAGCGGCTGAGGGGAGACTTTCATTTTTAATGCCAACCTGTATTGTTTGAGTTATTATACAACTTAGCCTGAATTTTCTACATAAAAAAGAAAATAAAAATTCTTTTAAATAATTGTTTAAAATGAAAACATGAGGGAATAACAATGATGAGACAATATGGAGACAGCACAAATTATAGCAATGAAAATAATATTAGAATAGTGAAAAAAACAGAAAGATAAATCATTGGATCAGAATAGACATTAGAACCAGCAAAGGCTGTGTAAAAATTATGTAAATGCTTCCAATAAGCCAGAAAAGTGCACATTATTCAATAAATCATGCTAGAAAAATTGAGTAAATAGTTGGCAAGCAAATGAAGTTTGCCTACCTCATTCATTATAAAAAAAACATTCCAGAGGGATTAAGGATGTATGTCTGTGTATAACGTAAAGACACACATATACAAAAACCTTAAACATTTAAAAATAAGGTGATTTTTCATTGATCTCCTGGTAGAATTTTATCTGAGCATACCAACAAAAGTATAAACTATGAGAGAAGACACTGATACATTTGACTGCAAAAATACTTTAAATCTCTACACATTTGCTCAAACAACACAATAGCAAGAAAACAAATAACGTGATTAAAAAGTGGGCAAAGGAATTGAATAAACGTTCTCAAAAGAAGACATGCAAATGGGCAACAGATATGTGAAAAGATACTTAACGTCAGTAATCACCAAAGAAACACAAATCAAAACCACAATTATATATCACCTCACACCCATTAGAAGAGCTATTATCAAAAAGACAAAAGATAACAAGTGTTGGTGAGGATGTGGAGAAAAGGAAACCTTTGCACGCTGTTTGTAGGAATGCATTTGGTACACAGATTGTGGAAAACAGTATGGAAGTTCACCTCAAGATTAAAAATACAGCTACCACATGATCCAGTAGTTCTCATTTCTGGGTATATGTTCAAAGGACATGAAATCTGTATCTTGAAGAGATATCTGGACTCCCTTGTTCATTGCAGCATTGTTCACAATAGCCAAGATAGAGAAACAACTTAAGTGTCTGTCAACGGATGAACGGATAAAGAAACTGTGGTATGCATACTACATATTTTATACATATATAGAATAGAATATTATTCAGCATTAAAAAAGAAGGAAATCTTGCCATTTGCAACAACATGGATGAACCTAGTGAACATCATGTTAACTGAAATAAGTCAGATGCAGAAAGACAAACACTGTATGATCTCACTTATACGTAGAATCTAAAAAAGCTGAACTCATAGAGGCAGAGAGTTGAATGGTGATTACCAGGGACTGGGGGATAAGGAAAATGGGGAAATGTTGGCAAAAGGGAACACAGTTTCAATAATGCAGAATGAATAAGTTCTGGAGATCTAATGTACAGCATGGTGACTATAGTTAATAATACTGTATTGTATTCTTGAAAATTGCTAACATAGTAGGTCTCAATTATTCTAACAAAAAAATTGTAACTGTGATGTGATGGATATATTAACTAGCTTGATTGTGGTAATCATTTCAGAATGTGTATGTGTATCAAAACATCACACTGTATACCTGAAATTTTAAAGTTAAAAACATGGAAAAATAACTGTAACATACACAGCAGATCAAGGATTAATATCCTTAGCATAGAAACTCTAATGATAAATTAATGAGAAAATGTTATAAATATTACAGGAGAAAAGCATAAATGTGAACTGACAATTCATAATGAGTAAAATTCAATATCAGTAACTGATATTAATCATAATGAGTAAAATTCAATATCAGTAAAATTAAACAGTGGCAAATAAGATTAGATGCTTTTTTTGGTAATCAAATGGGCATGATTTTTAAAAATGTATAATATTCAATGGTAATGAGATTCTTATTTTGGTTGCAATATAAATTAATAAGATAAATTAATGAGAAAATGTTATAAATATTACAGGAAAAAAGCATAAATGTGAATTGACAATTCATAATGAGTAAAATTCAATATCAGTAAAATTAAACAGTGACAAATAAGATTAGATGCTTTTTTTGGTAATCAAATGGGCATGATTTTTAAAAATGTATAATATTCAATGGTAATGAGATTCTTATTTTGTTGGCAATATAAATTACTAAAACCTGCATGAGGGGTAATTTGTCAATATATAGAAAGTGCATTAAAATGAGCAATATACTTTGATAAAGTAAATTTCAAACATTATTTTGTCATAAATAAATTTAATATTTGGTCAAAAAGTAATATGGCAAAATGAATCTGTGAGGATGTTTATCACAATATCAATTGTAATTATATAGCTTTGAAGAAAGACAAATATTCTTAAACAAATATAGAACATCTAAATGATGAAATACAATGCAACCACTGAAAAAATGTAAAATTATTTTATGACACCAAAAATGTTTGCATTATATTTAAGATAGAAAAGTGGTTATAAAAATATTTTACACTATAATTCTCATATTAAAATTTGTCTCACACGAAGTGTGCATGTGTTGTGTTTTTCTGAGTGATGGGATTATAAGTGACTTTTTCTTTTTATCTTTATGTGATTTTATAGTTTCCAAGTGCTCTATAATAAAAACATTGTTTAGTGATCAGAAAATAAATAATCTTTCACTCAATCCTTTGTAATCTGGAACCCGCCTACTTCTTCACTCTCGTCTCTTGCCTCTTCCTATGTTCTGACTTTATGTTCTGGAACATTATAAATATCCTTTTCTAAAAGCTGCTATTCATTGAGAGGTCCTGCATTAAACTCTTTAGAGTCATTATCTCATTAATCTTTAGAATGACCTTACTCTTTGGTAATATCATCTTTCCATTTTACGTAAATAATGAAACTGAGCCTTAGAATAATCAAGTAAATTTTCAATAACTGGGATTGGAATCCAGGTCCCTGGATCCAAGCTCCATGCTCTTAACCACTTCACATACTGTCTATTTTTCAAAACCTAAAAATGTCAAAATAACAATTAATGTGATAAAGAAGAGCAAGAGTGAAACCAAGCAGACTTCCATTTTGCTGTGCACTGACACGAACACTAGCCTTTCTTGAGACTTATTATTTTCTTGTTTTCTCTGTTTTTCTTAATTTTGCTTTCATCTCTTTAATTTCATTACTAAGTATTCTCAATACTTTTTATTCTAAAGAGAAAAAGGCAGTATAATTTACCATAGCCAAGAGGTGGAAGCAATCCAAGTATCCATCAATGGATGAATGGATACACAAAATGTGATCTATACATACAGAGGAATATTGTTCAGCCTCTAAAAAGGAAATCCTGTCACGTGCCTTAACATGAATGAGCCTTGAAGACATTATGCTAAGTGAAATGAGCCAGTCACCAAAATAGAAATACTGTATGATTCCACTTATATGAGGTGTCTAGAGCAGACAAACTCATAGAGACAAAGTAGGATGGTGATTGCCAGAAGTTAGGGGAAGGGAGAAATGATCAGTTGTTCAATGGGTAGAGAGTTTCAGTTTTGCAAGATGAAAG